GTGGTTCCCAGCAACTTTCGAGCAGCCGCAGACATGCGCAACGCTGGCCCTGTTGGAGCACTTCCATATGCAAACTCTACAAGGCAAAGTCACCTTGTACGACTATTATTCTGCACTCCAAAAGCTTACCGACAACACTGGTCTTGGGAAACTTCCGGTATGCATACCTTCATCGTACTTCTGAACCTGACGCCCTCCCCAGAGCCGTTATAAGGAATTCGTTCGGATGAGGCGAGAGTACGCTTACCTCAAGAGCCTCAAGCGATCCGGAAGGGCCCATGACCCCACTGGTATTGCCGGTACAAAGCCTGGGGAACTGACGGTTCAATGCCCAGCATGTCCCGATCCCGAAGTCAACCTTCCCAAGAACTGGAAAAATGCACCCAATGAAGAGATGTGAGACCGTCTTCTGATCAATACTTACATGAATCTGACCATATTACGCTTGAGGTTCCTCTACACACTGTTCATCGCCCTTGACGCTTGCTTTAGACTGAAACGACGAATTGTTTCGTCCGTGGAGAAGGACCCTGGCTTAGGTGTGGATTGGGGATACTTTGTGGAAACTGAGCCATTTCGTGAGTACCTACTCAGCGTTACAGATCAAAAGGAGGTGAGCCTGTTTACCACCATAGACGAATGTGCACTATCTAATATATAATAAGATGAGCACATGTAGTGGACTGGCCGCATTGGATTACGCGAACACAAAGTTCTCTCGAGGCTACGCTGCCACTGGTGTATGCCTTGGAGTGTGTGCCAGGCATGAGTTCATCCAGAGGAATGGGGCAGCTGATCTGCAGGTTGGGGAACGGTAAGCAGGTGTTCGCCTCTGACCTATACTCTATAAACTGAATCTCACAGGTACGCGAATATGGACTATACCTTTGCGTCCCTTTTGCGCCACCACAGCCATGACTTGCCCATTGTGGTTTCTTACGACATTGCTTGTCAGTGGTCTAAATCAATCATAGCCCGCCTCAAGGTCCTCCCTCCGATGGTGCGCCTGGATCTGATCACCCAAATGATTCGGTTCGCAGTGCCTAAACTCCATATCCACTCCCATACCAAACATTGCCAACAAAACTACTCACTCAACTATCTTCCAGGGGTTGGCAGAACGGACGGGGAAGGAATAGAACGGCCGTGGGCAAACATTGGGGCAACTGCGACAAGCATCCGGGTGATGGGGCCCGGTGGGCGGATTGAGACGCTAAACGATCATTGGTCGTACTGGAATTGGCAAAAGACAATAGGCTTAGGTATGTTTCTCTCCCTCCACGCTTCGTCCCCCTCCAACGTACCGCTCCACCAGGTGCTCTTCTTTCAAAACGGCTCCGGTTAGCTATCTCCGAAAGGGATGTTCAGCAGGCATCGTTTGAGATCTTCTCAGAGCAGCAAGGCGCAAGAGTCAATGTCTGGAAGCAGATGGTGATGGATTTCGAGGAGGATGGAGCGAGACAGAACCCTTACGAAGTCCCTTGTACAGGTAAGGGGGGAGTTGAAATGTAAATGTCGCTAACGACGTTGATAAAGGCTTTTCGGAGAACGATGTTCGACTACAGTTTGCTCAAGAGGAAGCGGAGGCAGCAGCGCGTGGTGTCCTTGCCCTTCATGAAGTCACTACAAGTGGATTCATCAGTGAGGCCTTGGATCTCGAGGAACAGCAGTACGTCTTTGTACCGCTACATACACTGCTCAGTTACTCTCATGAGTGGATAACAGACTTCGAGCAAGGGCATTGATAGCAGAGAAAACAGCGGGAACATCTGCCCAGATGGCTGACATCACCGACCTTCGAACCAAGCTCACACGTAGCCTTGCTCGAATCAGAGCCCTACAGGGGGTCTATCTACCGACTGCAATACCCCTACTCCTCAAACGTGTGGTACCCAAAGGTGAGGGCGTCGAATGTGTCCCTATTCTCTTCCCATCATCATTTTCGGAGACGGAGAGGGCCCACGTCGACAAACGGGTGGTAGACGTGGAGGGCCGCCTGCGGGAAGCAAAATGCAGGTCGGCGTTGGACGAAATTCGGAACCTCTTGTTCATCAAGTCGCGGCTAGTATCATATAAGGATAGGAACGTTCGCCACCAAGCCGCAAATACGAGAACACGAACACTGATCCAAAGAAACGAGTCGAAGATCAAGCTTCAGGTTAAGAAGTTCCAGTCCTCCTGGACTGCACTGAAGTCATTGGCCAACGGGGACGAATCGAAGTTGAAGTGGCCCGCATTGAGGCAAGAGCATATCAGATGCATGGAAGATCCTGACACGACAAGCACACGAGAGGTTCGACGGCCTCGTTCTTCAGAGACGGGACGAGAAGACTACCTTGACAGACCTCTGCCATCTGAGGGCCATGGAGGGGGCGAAGAAAATGGGGAACCTCCTGTAGAGAGAGTCCTTCCGCGCGAAGGGTATAGAACGATGTCTTGGATATGGATGGAGGCCGTGGAGAGTACTGGGTCAGCAAGCAGAGGGATGAACGAAGGCGAGTGGACCAACGGCGAGGTATATAACATTTCTAACACCACCTTTGAACCAGTTTTACGATCTGAGTTTGCAAAGTCATGGGCAAGGGTACGCCGCTGGACAGAGGAGGTGGCTCTCCTGAAGGAGGAGATGCGCAGAACAATAGTCACACTCAGGCACAGGGCAAGGAAATGGGAAGAACGTGCAACTACCTTGCAACTCCCACCTACCCCCTACTCCATCGGCCTTTCCTCGTACGCCCATTCCCAAGCGGACCTTCTATACTCACTGGCTAATAAATATGAAGCGGGATGGACGGACGGCCGCACGATAAGTAATGGATTCGGCCAACAGGATGAGGAAGATGAAAGCATCCTGGATGCAGACATTAGGGAGGCACGAGCTGAAGCGGAGGAGGAGGAGGAGGAGGAGGTGGAGGCGGCGGCGGAGGGGGCCTAGAGGTTGGGCGCTCCGAAGATTGGGCGCTCCGAGAATAGTGATTAGATAGATGATTGATTAATAAAGATGATCAACAAAGATAAAAGATTATCTTCGCGCCAGAAGACAATGCATTATGAGGGAAAACAATCCATTATGAATTTGGAGGGCTCTCCAGGAGTTAATGCATTAAATACTGCTTGCCTAGAAACAATGCATTGCGCTGTAGACAGCCGCCCCGCTGTAATTAATTATTCCCACTGCAACAGGTGCGCGAAGCGAGGTTCGCGACATACGAAGGGGCGGAGTCGGCATGGATAGTGTTTGCTACCTCCATAACGGGACAGGGTGCTTGCGGAGACATCGGCGCCGCGCCTTCCCGGCCTGACCTCCAAGCAGTTACTGGGGTCAGGGCGGCATGCCGCAGCGCAGTCGACGGGGTTGCCATTCGGGATTTTGATCTGCCTCGACGCGGGTACTGGGATTGAGGGTGTTCCGCCACGATGTAAGGTCAGGCGGCAGGGGCGACTTCGAGGGTGGCAAATATTCCAATATGCAGGACGCCCGGCCCCGACCGCAGAAACGTCCGGATCCCATAATGCAAGGAAAGGGAGGGAATGGCCCACTCTGTGCGCGCAGGCAGGCGAGGAGTGACGAGACTAGCCCTCAAGTCGACACGTTGATGCGGAAGACGGCATTCCACAGGATTGGTACGAGCACGCGGAGGAGAAGCGCTCGATGTAATTTTGGCCGCCTGGTATAGACGAGTGCAGGTGCAGGTGCAGGTGGTATGCATGAAATCGACGGCATCAATGCCTGGGTCGCAGACGCTGTGGTGAACGCCCTGGAGCCCTCAGATCATATCCATGCTCGGCGGTTGCTACTTCGAGGTTGTATCATGCCGTAGACGACTGATCGGAAGATGAGGGTAACACCTGTGCGCTATGAACACCCAACGCGGCAAGGTGATGCCACAACGACGAACACTAGGGTAGGGCTCGAGAGAGGCTTAGGGAGGGCTGCGGCTCACGCGTGGACCGTACTACGTACTCCGTCTATCACCACTCCCGCACAGCCATGCCAAAAGCTGGTGGAGGGTTTTGGTTAGGGAGTTCAGCGAGGAGCGAGGCACTGGATACACACGATTTGAGCGTCCAGAGCGTATACGATCAGAGATACAGCGCTCAGAGCCAGCCCAACTCAACCTTCGTCTGTCTGATACATGGGCATTATGTTCTGACACTGTCGAAGGAACTCACGTACCGGCAATCCTGAACCCATGCCACGCTCCCAAGAGTTCCATTCCTAGCTCTCGCCAACTTGGGATCGGGGTACCAGACTTCTCGTGTCGGGTTCCCTTGGTATTGGTGCCAGCCCGGCTTGCTGCAGACCCGTTGGATGTGTAATATCGCAAGGCCGATTCAGACGGATCGCAGTAGATCAACGTCGCAGTCGCGAGAATTCTGACTCTTCATTGTTGCTAGTACACAGCGAGTCGCTGTTATGACACGATAGGTGCGGAGTGCGTTGGAGATGGCAACAAACAGTGTCGAATCCAACCGTGGGTACCATTTTCCAAGTTCGTCGCGACCCCTGTCGTCCGTCGCTGACATCTCGACACTTATCTGTAGAGTCGTGACAATGATGACCTATAATTATGAAAGACGACAGAATGGGCCGAAACCACCCCTCCTGTAGCTCTGCACAGTCTGGATGGGCAACAACCAGTACACGTGGCCGCCTGGCTGGCACGCCGTTGCAACGTTCGATTCTTTTCGTTCGTGAAAAGACCGTAATCTGACGAGGGGGAAGAGACTCCATCACATCGTGGTGGCCGAGGGCGTGTATATTGACCAAGTTCAATCGATCATGAATGCATGACCAGTGCTGTAAATGCCGCTGAGATTGAAGTTACCACACAAAATGGTTGACGGTCAGGTACAAAGACATGACGCGAGACAACGTCGCGGACTGCAAAAAGGGAACCGAAAAGGAGGCAGGGTCCCATTCATCAACCTACGACAAAACAGAATTCAGCTTGGCCACCAAGCTCACACGTTATGCGTGGCTCAGCGACCAAGCTGATCGCCTCGACCCCGGATCGAACGAGGGATCTTCGCATCGCACGGGACGCTACTGTTCGGCCAACCTTTCCCACCAACACCCCGTACGAGTGCGACGCCATACCATTGAGCCACCGAGGCGACGGCGTACGTGTGGCGAGTGGAGGAATGCGGGTACCTGCTGTCGGTTTTGGCGCTGAGGCGTCAGCGAGAAACAAACGCGGAGGTAGAGCGGGCTAGGGATGTGGTGAAGTCGAAAGGACGCGGGAGTGAGAGAAAATTCACTGGAAAGGCGCCGAACGGGACATCGAGGTCACACCTGTGCAGCTTGACCTGTAAGCAACTACCGGGGTCAGGGCGGCATGCCGCAGCGCAGCCAACGGCGTCGCCGTTGCGGATGGCAGGGTGGTAGTGGCGACACCAAGGGCGGCGAATACCCCAACCTCCAGAAAGCCCGTCGCCGACCGCAGAGACATCCCAGACCCCAGAACCCGGGAAAAGGGAGGGACGGAAAGGGAGCGCAGGCGGGCGAGTCAAGTAGGCATCTTGGTGAAGACGCGTTTGTTGGCGTTTGGAGGGCACGCGGAGGAAAGAAGCGTTCGATGTCGTTTCGGCGGGGATGAGTCACCGGTGGTATGCATGAAATCGACGCCAGCAATGTCTGGGACGGCAGCTGTGTCCGCACTACGGATGTCCTCGCATGGTCGCAGACGCCGTGGTGAGCGCCCTGGAGCCCTCAGATCACAAACATGGTCGGCGGTTGCTACGCCGAGCTTGTATCCTGCCGTAGACAACTGATCAAAAGATGGGGCGGAGTGACACCTGTGCGCCATGGACGTCGCGGAGAACCACTTCAGGCTCGAGTTTCGAGTGTCTGCGAAAGGGCTTGAACAACGGATGATGAGGATTCTAAACACCCACCGCAACGCTGCGGAGACGAACACCGGGACTCGTGAGAGGCTTAGCGAAGGCAGCAGCTCACGCACACGCGCAGAACGTACGACATACTCCATCTATTGCTACTCCATCGTCAATATGGCCCCAAGCCGAGATGCGTATCTTGATTAGGGAGTCCAGCGAGGAGCGGGCCCCCGGATACGCACGAAATATTCAGCGCGTACACGTTGAGAAAGTGACCTGTCCTTGTACAAGGAGATAGACATGAGCATATCCCGGGGAGATCAGACGATAAGGATAGAGGGAACTCACTGTGTACTGAGAATATATCAACCGATTCCAATTTTCCAGCAAGCTGAGTTGAGGACTAGCGCCAGGATCGCAGGAAAACTTGTTTGTCAGTGGTCCGGGCCTTATTTGTCGCAAGCTTGTGGTACGCGCAGCATGGACAAGGTGTTTGTCATGGTCAGGTCGTCTGAAAGCAGATTGTAGCTGATCAGCCTGGTGAGCGGATGAGACGAAGTGAAAGCGTGTAACCGTGGGTACCATTTAGCGCTGAGCGCTGAGAGAATGTTACGTGGGCCTCCTGACAGCAACGAGACGCCATCACTCCGGCCCTAACATTCCAACTTGAGGTGTGGGCCATGCACAGCATGCCCGGGTTACGAATCCTTCCTCATACAGACATCCAGCATTTTCCAAAATTTTAATTTTCCACTGAAATGGCCGCACATTTTGAACTCAACTTTTCTGTTCTTTTCCCCTACATCCACAACACTCGTAACTACTGTATATACTGACTCGGACATCTGAGTCATTGAAAGCATAGTGTGATGGCAACATTCGCCATGTCAGTGACTGTGACGTGAGTACTGTAAGGCTTGCACCCTTCCAGTTTTGTATTTCTGAGCACTCCTATCCCCTATCTGTTCCTCTCCGCCTCCACGGACTCGATCACACATGATTCCAGACATACGGAACGGTCTTGGACCCACGTGATAATGGATCATTGTATTCGGAACGACACAACTGTCTACTCTTTTGTTTTGTAGTCTAATACTCTGATCTCCACATCCCCGTTCTCCGTACTTTCATTGTTTGGTGTTCCGGACCTTAGCTATACATCTACAGCCATTTTTAAAGTCCCAAGCCTAGTGCTGCAATGCAAAAGTTCTGATACCTCATAGAGCCCCTACAAGCCCCTAGTAGAACAGGGAGAGTCACATGTTTGATGAGCCGATCAGATCAGTCTAATCTAATCTACGCATATTATCTAATCAGTGCAAATCAATGAAAGTGCCCAGATGTGAGCCAATCAGGCTGCGGCTCAGATTCCAAATCATCGACCCCGATGCGTAGTCTAGACTCAACTCTCGACAATCTAGAACAAAAGGCACAATAATATGCGGAAGCAAACCTTAACGCCGTCAAGGCACAAGGGGTAAAATGAGGGATAAAGAACGACTATATCAACGAATCCTAAACGGATTCGTAACTTACCAACAAAGTAGTAATGGCATCACTCTCTGCCATCCTGTCGCAATCATCTGTTAAGCGAGCTCTCGGTAAGCCTCCGCCCCGCTAGCCTAATACTGGGACGCACTTACTGATCTTCCAGTGATCGATTAATGCCTTGTCTACCGTGCAGGCTTGCCATGGAGTGCGGGCGGTGACTATACACGCAGCGACCGTGTGGAACCCCCCGACAGGCAGAAAGTCGCTGTAAACCAATCAAACATCAACTACGGAGGCGGGGTATTCAACACCGTCAATGGCACCCAAAGCTTCACCATGAACATTACATGGAACTTGCACAACGGGTCGACACCCAACACTGCCTCCCTGCCACTCATAGAACCGTACCAAAGCGCCATCGGCGTCGCCTTCGATATAATACGGCTCCTTGAAAGACTGCCTGAGACCCCGGCGGTCTCGACAATACGTAACGAAGTTGAGGGCTTCGTTCCGGCCCTGATATGTGTCGCGAAGGCTATGGAGATCATTCGTCGCGTATCCCCACTGTTCGCGACTCACACATTCTTTGCCAACATGGACAGTCAAGCGATAGACTGCGGAAGGCGCCTGAAGGAGTTGAAGACAGACATACACGAGTACTCCGTTCATCTCGGTGATATCATGCTATCGAGCACGGTGCGCCAAATATTTCTTCTAGTTTTCCCTCCCCACCGCTGGGTCCCCCTATCCAACCAAATTCGGTGCTGCGTTCAGCGTAACCAGATGTCATTGGAGAAATTCCTGCATGCGTTGTTGAAGTAGGGCGCATCTCCACACGAAACATTGCCGTTTGTTGACCGCCATTCTCAGCCCTCATCTTCGCCGTATCGTCGGCGAGGACCGCGGGGAGCTGCAACAGCTTATCACTGCTGCGGGCCTTACTTCGGGAACAGATATACGCCACCTCGGGGTCCACACGATCTGGATTCGGTATCCAACGGGCGCAGCCTTCCACCCCATACCCCTCAGCCTCTGTGGCTCCTGGCGTGTGCGGCCGTTCACATCTACTCGCACATGAAATCTCACTGATTTCTGACGAAACATAGGACTTCGCCCTCGTCGTATTTCAGTACTTCAGAAGCGGTCCAGCAAGTGCGTACATAGAAAGCGGGCACTGGGAAGCCGTGCGCGTCGGCGACAACCGTGTCATCCGTGCGTCGAGCTTCACGGGTTCGCTGACACCAGAAGCGGTGCTTGACATTGGCGTCATCATGCAGCTCCTGGCAGCATCCCTGCACGTGTGCCCACAATGCGGGCATGGTAGCGCCTCCGCCACTGCAGAGACCTGGGTGTCGTGGTGAGTCCTGCAGGTATATTAATATGAACAAGTCGTTGATGATGTCGCAAAGCTCGAACCCGGCGTGTGGCAATATCTTCCGCGTCATGCTCGCCACTGATGCGACTGCTTCTGGTGGTGGGACTGATGGACGGGGAAGCAGGTCGGCCCTGGCAGAACCAGGGTATGTTGCTGTCGAAGTATCATTACTCTCGGGCTTGTATTGACTCTTTCGCTGCCTTACTTCTATACTAGGTGTTCCCAAAGCGGTGCCAGGACAAAGTTCCGGCGCGTGTCGGCCCAAGTCCAGCTTCCGTTAGTCTCTGAGCCAGAGGGCAAAGAAGATGGCAAATTAGAGGATGAAGAGGATGAAGAGGATATATCATCAGATGAAGACAGGCCACCGATGCCCAAATGGAGGGTTCGGGGGGTAGTGGAATGGCAAGCGGCGGCCCGGACGACCCACCGATACCGATCCCAACGTGGAAAATCAGAGCTCCGAATCAGTAGATGATTGCAGTGGAATATGGAAGGACATTATATCACTGTCGATGCTGTTACTGAAACCCGAGACTGCCGTGATGATGATCAACCCAATAACAGAAGATTCCTGAGGGGCACACGTAAAGCGATGTTCCAGCACCCTTCAGAACGATTCCAATGTCGAAGGTTGCCTCTGGCACTAGGGCACCAATGAGGGTTGATTCAACGATTCAACGATGTTCGTCGACATGGACTGCTTCTCAGCTACCACGTGGTCCGTCCTCAGCCTGAAATACTGATATATGATGAGCGCGAAAGGGTGTCGGAAGCCAGACTAGCAGCCGTGTATGATTCCATACAACTAGAGGCCCTCGAGAATGTCACCCCCACTTCGAACTCACACGTGGCAGTCAAAATGGGGTAGTGATCGGCAGACATAAGCTAAAAGAGTGCACATGTGCAAGATCTATGTGAATTAGAAGATCTGCATCAACGACGAACACGCATAAGCTGCGTGCTACCAAAGACAAAGAGAACAATGCGTATGGGCATTCGATTCCCAGGAGGGACACTCAATACGACTGCGGAGGTCGTTGCAGAACCCATTTTGCCTGCCGCGGGAGTCGATATTTCCATGTAGACATCTGACCCCAGAGCGGACCCTCGTGGCTTCCTCGACAGACAGTGGGAAGAGAAGACCATTGTCATGCTCTCCAGAGCACGGCTTCCTTCTACTTCCCTCTTGAATGGAAATGGTGGGGATTCCCGGGAATTGTGATGGGCTGTTATCCGTCGCCCATTCACCCCCGATCACTCCACAAGCTCGACATCACTAGTCCAAGCGCGCAATTGCGCAGAACTCGCTGCTTAACTCCTTCATTTCGTTAGCCGCCGTAGGGTGAGAACCATTCTATTATTAACGGATGTCCAATGCTGATTCCGATACATACTGATTTATATGAATTATGCT